ATTTCAACCTGTTGGTTCTGGTCCGACCTTCTGGGGCAGCAGAATCCATAATGATGGCCCATCCAGTGGCCAAAACCCAGGGGCCATCAGGAGGTCCACCAGCGGGGCCAGAACTCCAGAAGCCCTCCCACTGTGCCCCGCCAAGCACCAAGACTACAGAGCATCACTTTCCCAGACATAAGAACATAAGTCCTGTTGGATCAGGCCAATGGCCCATCCAGTCCAACCCTCTGTGTCACTCAGTAGCCAAAACCCAAGGGCCATCAGGAGGTCCACCAGCGGGGCCAGAATTCCAGAAGCCCTCCCACTGTTGCCCAACAAGCACCAAGACTACGGAGCATCCCTGCCCCAGACAGAGTGTTTCTTCTATATACATTGTGGCTAACAGCTGCTGATGGACCTCTGCTCCAGCTGCTGAATCTAGTGGCAGAAGAGTTAAAATCTTCTGTGACAGTGCCGACGTTCTCTTTTGCACAATCTCATTGGTGAAGCTGGCAACAATCACACGGCCTCCTCGTCCAATCCTCCGTTGCAAGCCAGAGCTGAGGCACACTCCCCCAGCCACCTACCCTGTACCTCTGAGTTCTTGACTTAGTTCACAGTAACCTGATTGACAGGTTTGTCATAGAGATGACCGCTCATGAGCCGGATGAGACATGGATGGAACGGAAGGGAAGGGATGGCTGTTATCCATCCTTTCATTCATTACCCGCCTTCCGGCTCCAAGTACCACCCGAGACAGCTGATCTACAAACTTATCTATTGCATTGCCCCACATTCCAGATCTGGAAGGATCTCACAGAGGTGGTGGGCTTTCCTTCTTGGGAGGTTTTCAAGCAGAGGCTAGATGGCCCTCTGACAGCCATGCTGATTCTGTGAACTTGGGTAGATCACGAAGAGGGAGGGCAGGAAGGGTTGCCGCAGGGCTTAGTTCTCATGGCCCTTTCTTACACGCCCAGGGAAATGCTGATCGCCACTTTGGGAACAGGAAGGAATTTTCCTCCAGGCCAAATTCCGAGTACAGCAAGACCTTTAAGACCAACAAAGGTTTATTCAAGGTATGAGTTTTTGTGTGCAAGGCACACTTCTTCGAATATTTGAAAAAGTGTGCATGCACATGAAAGCTCATACCTTTAAGACCATCAAAGGTTTATTTGAGGTCTCAGCTTTTGTGTGCATGTACACTTCTTCAAATATTTGAAAAAAATGTGCCTGCACATGAAAGCTCATGCCTTGAATAAACCTTTGTTGGTCTTAAAGGTGTCACTGGACTCTAAATTTCATTCTGCTGCTTCAGACAAACACGGCTGCCCACCTAGAACTTTCTCCAGGGCAGTTTGGCCAGGAATCCTAAAGGGTTTTTTTGCCATCTTCTGGGCATGGAACAGCAGTCACTGGGGGTGTGTGGGGGGAGGCATTTGTGAATTTCCTGCCTTGTATAGAGGGTT